TGAAATCTACATGAGATTTAGGAATAAGATTGAGATCCATCATCCTTTTGATTTTCTTTAGACTTATATGTTCTAATCTTCCATGCCACACACTGCAAGATTCAACATTGAAAACTTGATGAGAAATTTCATTTACTTTTGAAAGTACATTCAATTTAAATAAACCATCACAAACATATCCTTTGCCAACAAATATATCATTCCTAGTTATCACAACTTTATTTGACTCCATTACAAATTTATAACCTTGTTGGACTAAGGACGACCCACGGACTAAATTTCTTCTAATTTCAGGAACATGTCGCACTCCCTTCAAGATCAATGTCTTCCCAGATGTCATCTTTAACTCTATGTCTCCAATTCCAAGTGCTTGTGCGACGGAATTATTTCCTAGCGTTACACTTTCTCCACTTGATTTCTAATAAGATTTGAATAAATCACGATCAAAGCAAACATGTATATTAGCCCTAGAGTCTAACCACCAATCTTTATCTTGATAAGTAAAATTAACTAGGGAACGATTATACCTAAAGGAGGGTTCGGCAGAATTATCACTATCCACTAGAACATTGACTTGAGCTCTTGGACCTCTTTGATTTGGCTTGAGTTTTGGCTTATATGACTCAGTCTTCTTGTAGTAGCAATCCTTAGCCAAGTGATTGGTTCGTCCACAAACAAAGCAAGACATCCTCTCTCTTCCTAAGCCCTTGAACTTATTATTATTATTATTATTATTATTATTATTATTATTATTATGATAGTTTTGTTTTTGACCATTATTAGGACAACCATTAAACCTATTATTCTTAAAATTTCATCCCCTAGGTCGGAAATTGTTATGGTTGTTGTTACTATTTTTCACTAGGTTTACCTTAGGGGGTCTCTCATTTTGTGAGTTTGTACTAACCCTATGCTTCTCTTCAACCCTAAGCGCGTATATAGTTTGGATTAAGGTTAACTCTCCTTGCTTATGTCTAAGGGTTTTAGCAAAGTTATCCCAAGAAGGTGGAAGCTTGTCAATTAAGCTTAAAACTTTAAAATCTTCACTAAATGTAGTTCCACATTTTTTGATTTTCCTCAAAAATTCTTGATATTCATTAATTTGATCACCAACAGGTTTACTCTCCACCATTTTATAACTATTAAAATTAGAGATCATAAACCGTTTAATTCCAGCATCAACAATCTCATACTTGGCCTCTAAAGTGTTCCAAAGTTCTTTAGCAGTTGTCGTAGTATTATGGTAGACATCATAAAGATGATCAGAAAGAGCACTAAGAATCTTATTATGACAGTGATATTCAATTTGTTCAAGGGTATACCATGAAGATAATATTTGACCAGCTTGAGGCTCTTTTATAGCAGAAATTAAGCCTAGTACGATTAACCAATATCAAACTTATTTTTGCCACCTACGAAAATATTGACCACTAAATTTTTCGGGTTTGACACTATTAGCTTCTTCTAGTCTAGTCATCCTTAATTTAGAATTCAAGGACAAAGAAATAATAAGAGATAAGCAAATAACCTATATTGAATTTAAATGTCAGCTGTCAAAACTCTATTTGTAACGAAGTTAAGAAAGGTGTTTAAAATTATTGTAATAACTCTTGAAACTTTAATTTTATTTTTCAAAGGCAAGTAGCTATATATTTTTTTTTATTAAAGCAAGTAGCTACTGGTTTTTTTTGGATATTCTATTACTATTCAAAAGTAGCTACTGTTTTTTTTTTTAAAATTCCAGAAACTGTTTTCCAAAAAAACATAAAACTGTTTGTGACAAACAACTTATTGGGTAGCAGTGTTTTTTTTACGTCGAAAACAGTAGCAATGTTTTTTGTCCCTTAAAACAATAACAATTTTTTTTTTTTAGAAAAACAGTAACAGTTTTTTTTCCAAAAAAAAAAAACAGAACAATTTTTTTTTATAGAAAAACAGTAACACCTTTTTTCCCTAAAAATAGTAACACAGAAAACTGTTTTAAACAAAAAAAAATGTTTTTTTTAACAACAAATAAAATCAGCTGTTTTAGATTGTAAAAATAATTATAGATTTTAAGCATATATTTATAATTGGAATTAATAAAAAATTGCTACTAAACTTTTGGGTAAATCAACAATTATTAGAATTATGATGTGAGCAATATAATTATGAGTATTGTAATCTAAAACTCGAAATAAAAATGCAAACAATATTTAGATCATATAACATGCAATTTAAATAAATACAGGAAATCTATAAACATGCAATCTATATAAACCAAATAAATAGATTTGAAATGAGTTGGTCTGCGAGTTCGAGAGACGTGTGTGATCACTGTCCTAAAACAGCTGAGTCTCCCCACATGAGGATACTGACGGACACCAACGACTCCAAGATCTAACCCAGATGCTCGCAGCAGCACCTTCTCAATGGTCACGTCCACTGGAAGGTTGAAGTGAATATGACTCAAATCAAGTTGCCCCAAAAATAAAATAATAGAGAATAATTGAAACGTATGTCAAATATCAAAAGAAAAGCTATTGAAAGATTGTGGAGTGGATTTTCATTCTATTCAGAGAAGCTATCTCAACAGCCTTTTATATAGTGAATTATGTATATAACGTACACATGAACTATTCAATTTTTTTCCTTTTAGCCGTTTGACACATGATATATTTTTTATGGTTTTCAATGGCTTTCAATGACTTGGCACGTACTGACTTTTCAATGATTTGTAACCTACAATGATATATTTTCAATGAATTTGATTATTTGGCATGAATAGCTATAAAACCAAATTTAAGGTCAATAAAAATTATTCTTTAATATACACACTAAATATGATCAAAAGATTTGTAACTGAAAAATACAATTTAAACATAATTAAAATGGAAATTTAAAAGTTTTAAAAACTTAATTTTATTCTTACATATGCATTACTTTTATTTTAGGTATATTGAAACTGATAGAGAGTGAAAGTAGAATTCATGAGGGGAAGATTAAAGGTTTATCAAATAGTTACAGCCAATGAACTACTCACATTCTTAAAATTATATTGGCCTTACCTAATTTTTTGAGAATAAATGATGAATTCAAAAGTTTTGATAGATATAGACATTCTTAGTAGTGTACATATAGATAAATATGGATTATATATATATATATATATATATATATATATATATATATATATAGTTTGTGTGGAAAGAGACATATATGAAGGATCATTAGGATATTTAATTGGTATTGAATAATTAAATACATAATAATAGAATTTGTCTTTAATCTTTATGGTCAACTAAAACTTTTTTACCTCTGTTGATATTTTAAAGTAGTATAAATTTGTACTGTTTGCTACAAAAATGGATATTTCATCCTATCCTTCTCTTTAAATGCATCGCTGGCGGATTACACAATCTTTTATGCATAACTAACACGCAAGGAAGACTTATTTCTCCCAAATATTCACACGCAATGAAGACTTATTTCTCAGAGTTTGTGCTGACAAAAGAGGGTTGACAAGAGGGAAAAATTTTCATGCATTTCCCTTAAAAGACAAATATTTGTGTTTTACATATAAATAGAAGGAAACTATACGTCACTAGCAAAATTATAATTTAATTAGGTCTAAAAATTTAGAATCGATAATAAAAAAAAAAACATGGGATCAATCCAAACAAGTTGGACTTGCCTTGATTTTTGGTTCATACTAATCCGCCCCATTGAGTTGTAGGTTGGTTATTTGAATTGTAACCTAATATGATTAAATTTCTTTTTCCGGAAGATAAAAATTTCTATGGATAAAAAAAAATACAAGAAAAGGGAATGACCTTTACAAAAAAAAAAAAAAAACAGATTGTATGTAAAAGATAGGTCCCAGGAGATAGAATTTAGAAGAAAGTGAAGGCCTTGAGCCTAAACTTCTATCCAAACCCCTCACCAGAAGTTAGTTTTTAGTAAGTAGAAATCCCCAAAATAAATTTGTAGCCAAAATTTTTTTTTTTTCAGCTTTACAACTTTTTCATATTCTTCCTTTTCTCTTTTGCCACCTAGAATAAAAGGAGATCAAGAGATGAACTTGGACATTGGAATAGAAATATGCACATTGGCAGTGAGAAATATCAATTTTTACTAACAAATTTTGGGAAAGGGCATTTATTCTTAGACACAAAGAAACAAGGACTTTGCATTCAGATAACTATATATCATTTGGGCTCACACTTCTTCCAGTCCACATTTAGGTTTTGTTTGGAATTCATATAATTTCCTTCACTTCCATGCCAACACCACTCCAAATATCTCAATCAACAGCAAGCTAATCATGCCCCTCCTAGTTCCTTCCTTAAATTTGACTTCGCTGGCACTATCCGAATCCTCCTGGCCACCCTAACAAAGTCCCTGGAGAGAGAGAGAGAGAGTTTCATATAACAATGTCCGCTCCTGTTTCGCAACACTTTTTTGTAACTTCGTAAGCAAAACAAACAATTTCTTCTTGAAAGGAAAAGAAAATTAATCATTGCATAATAAAAATCATCTATATAAATCTTACACGATAACATAATTAGACATGTGTACACATAGAATACTATAAAGCAACTAAGCTCAAAAGAATAGAGTAAGACTGAAAATGAAAAGACGAAGTAGTAAAATATAGAACAAACGCTAATTTAAAAGTATTTAAACAATGGAAAATGAGAAAATATTGCCAAGGGGTATTTGAAGTATCATTTTGTAATGCTTTTAAATTTTTTTTTTTTTGTTGAGAGAGAGTGATTTTGTCCAAACTACAACTGAAAGTGCAGTAACTCACTTCCAATTAAGGTCGCCAACTAGGAGAATATAATTTTCCATGTCTTCACAAGCAAAGAAGTGACCAGGAATAAGGTGACATCGTTTATCCCACATAGCGCAGGCATCCCCATAGTAGAAGAAAATAAGGCTATAATGGACTTTTATCGCTTTTTTTTATATTTTATAATTTTATTACGATTTCTAACTTATTTCCAAACTTGTTTATATTAAACCATGCTTCTATACAAGCAACAATAAGTTAGAAAACTTCACTGTAATATGGCAATTGATTCATATATCAATAAATTCACTGTAATATAGCAAGTGAAGCACTACTTACTTCCAATTAAGGTCACCAACAAGAAGAAGATCATTTTCCATGTCTTCATAAGCAATGAGGTGACCAGGAATAGCATTTGAAAGATCAACATCATTATCGGAAGTGGGGCCAGAATCGTCACCATCGACAAACATCTGCCGGAGGGCCTTGGCAAGGCTGTGGTAGCTGGCATGACTATGGAGGCTGATGCGCTGGCAGATCGAACGGCCGTCAAGCACCACGGTGACTGGTGGGACCATACTGGAGACTAGATCATCATCATCCAAACCACCGCCAGGAAAGCTTTGGAGCTTTTTAGGGTTACCCGTCAATGGTGATGGAGTTGTACCTAGTAGTCTGGAATAAAAGGTGGAATTGGTGCTTGAACAGTTGGGTTGATTTTCTATGGCTGAGAGTCTTTCTTGCCATCTCCTTTTCATGGAGTTTTGTTTTTGAGAATCAACAAAACTGTTCATTTTTCTTCTTCTCCTGCTCCTCTGTCTCTCTCTTTCTCTCTCTCTCTGTCTATCTCTATCTCTCTCTCTCACACACACACACACCCCCTGTATGAACTATGTATGGGTTGTGTTTTACCTTTTGGGCGAGATTTGGTGAACAATCAGGAGTTTGGTCCTTCTTGGGATTTATGTTGGACAGAGAAGGAAAATACAAAAAGACAGCACTGAAAAGGCTTTGGTGGGGTGTCTCTTTCTCACACAAACGCATTCTGAAATAGATTGAGAATGGTGAAACTGGTTCTTAGTATTGCGGGAGAGTAATGCTATTTAGACTTAAATATTTTATTTAATTTATTAACTTAATTATTTAGTTTTATTGAAATTATTAAATTAATATCAAATTTCAATACTATTTGATGGACTCATAATTAATCTAAAAATTATAATAAATTAGATTAATAAATTATATTCAAATAATATTATTCTTAAAAAGAGTTTGTTTAGTGATGGAAAAATATAAATAAGAGAGAGAGAGCACAAATGTTGGGAGAGGGTCAGGAAAGTGTCTGAAACCGCTGTAACATCGAGCTATCCTTTTCCAATTTCGAAGCTGCCATTAATTGGTTGTTGATGTATGTGTACTATATAATCCAAATTTGTAATTTAAATTTGCATCTCAAATGAACAGAGATCATTAGATGAGTGAGTCTTATCAATTTTTTTAATTAGAACCAATTGATCTAACCATTCTTATTAATTTGAGATACACATTTAAAATAAAAATTTGAAATATATAGCGTTGCTCTTTACTCTAACTCTTAGTCTTCTGTCACTTTGTTCTTCAGTCCCTGACCAAAGAGGCCATTGCTCCTCTTGTCCCCTCTCCCCCCCCCCCCCCCCCCCCCCCCCCCCCCCCCCCCCCCCCCCCCCCCCCCCC